ACAAGAAAGGTTTTACTTCTGTCTAAAGTAGCTTTGCATCTATTATCCATTTACTATTCCACTGAAGTCAACAGATGTTTAGAATAGAGTTGCTACATTTACCAAAAAGGGGTTAAGAGGGCAAAAAAAGCATAAAAGGACAGTTCAGAGGATCAATCCATTCGGATTGTAAGATTTAGTATCTCAACTTTCTGCAGTTAACACATACATAATTCGTACCTGTTGCAGCACCACACAAGTGCTTCCCAATTCCTACCACTGGTAGTTTTGTCTTCTCCAAAACAGGTACCTTATCTGGAGGGGAAAAAAAAAAAACCACCCCAAAAAACCAAAACACACACAATCCAGAATCTTTATTATTATACTTGAGGCAGTATCTTTTCTGGGTAATATAATCTCAGCACACTTAAAAAAAAAGAAATAAATGTTTACCACTACTAAAAATATAGCAGTCTGTACATACAGTTATAAGCTATTCAAAGAAAAGTTTATTTCTCTAAAACAAATTAAGAGAATTGGATGCTGTGGCCAAGAAGCCTATTTAACCATTTCAGCCTTTCTATACTGCCTATGAAATGTAAATGACATTAATGCATCTCCTCATGACAGATGTTCCCACAAATTCTAAAATATTGATATGCATGACTTGCTTCATTCCACACGCCTAAAACAAAAGATGCAAAGGTGTTTAATCCTGCAAGTTCTAAAAAACCTTCAAATTGTTTTTGTTTTGTTATTTCTCACTTATAAAGATGTCCTATAAATAAGAAGCAGAAAATTTTAAATCCTCATTTTATATATATGTAAGTGTATATATACATATACACAGCATTAATGTGTCCAAGCAACTACTGAGAATGATCTTCAAAAATCAAGTATATTTAAGCGTGCTACATACAAAATTGACTTGAAGTCCAGTATACAAAATCTAAAGTTAAGCCTCTATTTCAAAATTATGCAAACCAAGAAGGAACTTACTTAAACATAAATGTTGAATATCAACTTGAAGCCTTTCAAATATAGAATCTCTCCTCTTATGTTTTCCATCCACCTGTGTAAACAGAACAAGATCATCATAGGGCTGGCTGCTAATAATTGTAATTTTGCTCCAGGTATTAATGCCAGACTTCTTTCTTGTCAAGTCAACATCCGCACATTTCCAACATTCTACACAAAGATTTTTTTCTTAATAAATTTGCTATTGGCAAAGTAGGGAATGTAGGCAATCACACTTCCAAAACTTTTAAAGGCTTTATGTTATTTGTGAAGATAAAAAGCAAGTGTTAGCAGCTTCAATGACAACAAATGAAAAATTATACTCTGCTAATGTGACAATATTCTCTCTTACCTTGAATCTTGTAGTTGCCCTTTCCACAAGTAAAAACTGAACATTTTCAACATTCTGTAAGGCAACATCAACCCAGTGGGACAGCTTTCCTCGCCCAGCTCCAAACTCAACAAAACATCTTCCTGGAACAAGTAAATGTAATTTTTCCATGTTACCTAAAATAGAAGCCTAGAAACATCAAAAGGTTATTTACGAACCAAGCAAATACATACACTGTGTATTGTAATGCCTGATAGAAAAAAGGATTACTTCAGCAAACTGCAGAAGACTTTTTCAAGCCTTCCCTTCCATGATGCATTTAAGGAAAAGATCTTGTGTGACCAGAGGAAAGGGATTATACGTTCTGGCTAGTCAGCAGCACCCTGCCCTTCTTCCACTGCTCACAGGACTCCACACAGAAGTTTCTGGAATGAATTTTTGGGATCAGGTACACATTATAATATTATTCTCTGCTGATTGCCCAAGTAGCCATCCAAAATATGGGCAACGTACTGGATTTTCTGTGAAGCATCAGTGCCTGCAGAATCCTCTCTCTTTGCTGCAGTTTCCTATGTATTACAAAATGCGTAAGTGGAGCATGGGAAGAAAGTACAGGAAACATACATTTCTCACTTTTAAATTTTTCTTCCCAACACTTTCTATTTTGCTACAGTGTGCAATCCATCTTCCTTAAAATTCCAAAGTTCAATATACATTAAAAAGGCAGAAAGTAAACTCAGGCTTTCCAATTCATTTAAGTATCTGTTACACAATCAGGTAATCTAGGACTAGCTCTTACAGAAAAAGTAAAAAATTCCTTTGACTTCTTAGCAAATACAACATTTTACCTGTTGTAGCTCAGATTTATTATGAGTTAATATAAAATAGCAATATATAAGTAAAAATTCATAAGAACACCACACAATTTGTAATTTATTTCAGTAGTCTGATAAACTTTTATTACTAATACTTAACAAAGCAGCCATTCAAAGGTTATATGTTTGCTATTATTTAAAAGCATGAAGTTACAGAGCATATCAGATTTCCTCCATATGAAGTGACTAGCATTATGCATGCAGAGTCACTCGAATTTACAGCAGCAGAATTCTACATGTTTAAAAACATCTATAGCTATTAGTAAAGCAGTGGCCATACCTGTTGTTTCAAGTGTTTAAAAGCGGATTCCCCATTCTTTGGGTCATTTAAGGCTTCTTGTAAAGCCTGGTGGGACAGTATTTGTTCCTTAAGGCGAAGTTCCAGGCCTGCATGCAAATGCAAAACTTTTACGTATAGCTTTGAAGTTTCCAAGAGTTTCTGGTTTTGTAACACACGTTACAAGAGTCAGACATAAGCTCAATTTGTAGCACTAACAAAATAGTCTGTTGGGAGCATAAATCTATCATCACATGTTTGTAACAGAGCTGTATTGTTATCTGTAGTGATATATGAGTGGAAAACAAAAAACACAAAAGGAAGGGAAATGAGCTGTGTGCGCAAACACCAGTGTTTTATCATTCAATCTAGTTTATTCTGAGTAAAATTTAGCTATTGGAGGATTGCCTACACCTTGCTGATAATTACTCCAGATGTGTTTAGTGCCAAATGTCTCACATTTTCACAAGATGATCTACCAACAAAAATAACACTGAAATATTTAATCAATTCAATTTAAAGCATCTTATTTTCAGTATTAAGTAAGCTCACCATTACTTGCTTTTTTCAACCTGACAATTAAGTTCTCCAGCTCTTCTTTGGATAGAGAAGAGATAGGTACCTTTTTAGGGAGGGGGGAAAAAAAAAAGCACAACCCATAAATAAGAGAATTTTTAATTTTTGCTAGTTCTTAGTCAAATGATAAATTGCAACATATTACATAGGGACTGAGCTTTAGAACAAATAAATGTACTCACTTGTTTTTCTGGTATTTCTGCTACATCTTTTAAACCTGCATTAATATCTTGAACAAAGTAGACCTTTAAAAATCAAAAGAAAAGAAATCTGATTATGTTAATTATCAGGAAGCAAAAAGCTAAATTCTTCAGTGTTTTTATCATAATGTGCATAGCAATAGGTATCCACTGCAAAAGAAGATATTCCAAGTAATTTTTTTTTCGCTATAGTCTGATCCTGAATCCCCAGGAGGAATGACGGTTCTAGCACATTTTGACAAGACTGAACACGTTCATACGAGTGAAGCTGTCAATGCTTACTAGACTGATTCCAGACACCATTTTAAGGTTTCCCAGGTAATACTAAAGATGCAATACTGATAAGGCAGAAAGGCAGATAGGAAAGAAACCATCTTCTGTTTTCTTGAAACAGCTGTTGAGACATATATCCTATTCCTTCCCTCAGCACTGGCTGCAACTGTCAGCCTTGCTTTCCGTAATTCACTGCTAGCTTGAGTGAAGCAGGCAGTTGGCTAGGGCAGCAGACTGCCACAGGTAGGAAAACACCCAGAGCGTTCCTGCTGGCTTTGCTTTCTGAGGACAATCTCGCACCAGAATGAATGGCATTGTGAGAGACTGTTCTTAGAGAATGTTTTTGAGAGAAATGAATTCAGCATTTTCATTTGTAACTAAGAGAACTGAAAAGTTGTGCTGAACTAAAGTGAGACAGGACACAGAAGATGAGGAGACTGGAATGTGAATTCCATTTCAACAAGTACTTATTCAGCTTCCATAATGTCCTTTCTATAGTGCTTGCTAAGACTGCTGTCTTCCATTTCACAGCTGCTGTCGGCACAATACATTCTCTGCAGAGCTGTAATGTTTAGGGGCTTAAATACGAGAGGAAGTAGTGCTGAATTTACATGGCACTTACTGGCTTTGGCTTCTCTCTTGAATTACACTTTTTTAAATGTTTTTGTAGTTGGTCTTCATATACAGTGCTAAAATCCAAATGGAAAGAAAAGTATCAGCATTTATCGTGTGAACTCTGACAAAGAATGGGAAAAGCATCTACATACACTTACTGTTTCGGATCAAGAGGACATGGAATTCTTTTTCTGTAATTTTCTTCCTAGTTATGAAAGAAAAGTTTTAGACAACACTTCAGCATGTCGTGTTCCTGTTTTAGAAAAGCTGTGGAGGGACATCTGAGTTACATAAAACATCTATTTTGAGGTAGGTAGGTTAACCAGAATGGAGACATTAAGACAAGAATACTTGTATAGCTCCTAAAAGAATAACCCCACAATGTAATGGCAGCGTTACTCCTGGGCTGAACCGATGGCCTTAGCACATCCAGAGCTCACAGGCAGGCGCAGCCTCTTGTGCCCGTGCTGCGGAACCAGCTCAGGCGAACATGCCACCCCAGGCCCCCTGCGGTGCCGCCGCGGCTTCCCCCTACCCCAGCCCTTCCCAGAGGGCCCGGAGCTGCCCTGACCCCAGGGCCCACCCTCCCCAGGCGGAGGAGGGGGCCTGCAGCTCCGCCCGGCAAGACCCGGTACCTCCTGCTGCCCATGCTCTCCGCAAAAACGCCTCCCAGGAGCCGGGATCATCTTGCAGAAGCGCTTCTTCCTCTCCACAAAGTAGGCACATCGCGCAGGGACCGACGCGCCGCTGCCCAGCTGCAGCCCCGCCATCTCCGTCCCAGCACGCTCTGCGGGCGCCGCCTCGGCTCCATCTTGAGGCTCCTCCTCCGCGGGAGCCGGGCGCCAAGCTCGAAGTGCAAGATGGCGGCGGAGAGGATGTTCAACCGGCCGGTGTGTGTGCAAGTGAGGTGCCAGGGCTGTGAGGAGAGGTGAGGAGTTGACTTGAACTGTGCGGCGGGCTTTGACTTGGTTTCCTCAGCAGCTGCGCGGAAGCTTTATTGCATTCTTTAGAAGGGCTGCCGAACGACAGGCTTTTTCCTTCTGCCCTAACAACTGCTGGGCGAGAGGTGAGGCCCCGCTCCTAGTGCGAGCGGTGAGCTGAGATGCTGCTTGCGTTGTTCATGCTTTGGGGCTGCTTATGGGAACCCTCTGGGTTAAAGGGAAGGGGACTTGGTCGCAGCAAGGCTGGAGGTGGTCAGTGGGGGCTGGAGTGGCTGCCGCGGGTGCCTTGCCAGGGGAGAGGGGGCGGAGAAAACACGCAGTGGCTTTACAGAAACGCCTTAGGGGTACGGGGGCAAGCGCGTCTCTGCTGCAGGTTACACGAGGGTCGGGATTTCTGCCTCGGCCCTGCATGGGCCCTCGCAGCGCTGCAGGTCCGGCTGGCCGGGCCGGTGTTTGCGCGTCTCCCAGGCCGCAGCGGTTGCTCCGCGGGCAGGCCCGCCTCCTTTTCCTCCTCCTCTTCCTCCTCCTCCTCCTCCTCCTCGCTGTCTGAAGCCGGCCTTACCGCGGCCTCTTGGCGCCTCTCAGATCCTTCGTTACTGCCTCTATGGCGTGCGCGAGCCCACACGTTCGTCCCGATCGGTTTCTGCCGAGGGATAAGTCGATTTGGGCTCCCCCGTGTGTGTGTGTGTGCATGGCGTAGCGCTGGTGTTTGGGAAAGCCTATGGAATATTTTATGTGAAGTCTCTACTCAAATACAGTAATTTTAGTAATACAGGTCCTACCTGGATTAGACAGTGTGTGCGGGTGTTAGGGCTACTCTGGCTTGCCTGTATTGGAAGGCACGGAGAGTCCGATGTCTGTGGGTGTGTTTTTGTAATGCAAGTAATTTCTCGGATTGCTCAACAAGAAGTAAATGAAGACAAGGTAGCACTGTATAAATGATTATCAAAAGTTTCATCAATCGTTAATAAATTTCAGCAGGCTTTTCCAAAGGTTCTAGTTTCTGGACAAGTTTCCAAACTTTGCTGTTTAAAGTTTGGTGGCTAACAAGCCACAAAAAAAACCTGAGCTGAGGAGCTGTAATGATAACTGAAACTGTGGGGCTTTCAGATGTCTTAGAGTAGTCATCAGTGGGAACTTTCTTGGTACTTCTGCCTGAACTTTTGTTTTAAAAATGTCATTTGATTCCTGTAGTGTAGCAATGAACAAGTTATTTCGGGAATGTTTTCTTGATTTGTTACTAAGTTTCATCTTTTTGTACACAGGAGATTAAATGTTCGAGTGAATATTGAGCTACTGTCCATTTCTAGTCCTGTTCATAAAAAGGTTTGTGGATTAGTCATATTTGTGTCATTCATTAGGTATTATCTGGATTTCATTGTATAAAAGGACAAATAGGCAAAGGAAAAGCAAAACAGGATTTCAGTATGTTTGTCACTTGACCTTATTTTACTTTTTATATAAGTTCTTGAGTAATTTAATTGGTTTGGTACGGTGGTGTGTTTTTTTAATAGGTTTTTTAGCCCTCTCTTTTAGTTTTGCTAAATGGGTCTTAGTAATGGGTCTTAGTAAAGTTGCCAATTAAAAGTATTTGGAGACCCTCGGAGGAACCCAAGTTAGACCCTAAGAGCCATCTCGCTTTAAATATACTCAACACTTATTCAAGAATGTAGAGCAGCAGTTGTCTTTGTAAAGGTCTCATCTTAACTAGCAAAAATGACAACTTGTACGTAGACGTAACATTTTGCTTTTTATTTATAAGTGTTTAGTCTTTGAATGTTTGGAATTCATCCAGAGTAGGAAGGAAGTCATGTACTAAATTTGCAGTAAGAAAGTCTTATTAGGAAAAATAGCAATGAGATTACTACTGGAGTTTTAAAATCTTTTTTTGTTATATGTCTAATTTGTCACTTAAGCTGTGCATCCACCTACCATGATGTTAAGATAATTAGTTGGTTATAGTGTTATTGAGTAAAGATTTGTTTGTAAAGGAGTACAGCATTTTTTGGTAAGATTCTGCTAGCTGTGACAATGATAATATTAAGTGTGAAGAAGCAGTTCAGTTAAGAACTGTGTACCAGGTTGCAGCCTCTGTCAGCAGGAGCCTGGAGATGCAGTTGGGTACATCAGTGAGTGATCAGTCTAAAAAGATAACTTCAAATGTTTGTATCAGTTAATGGGACATCAAACCAAGCAGGCATTCTTATCCTACCCACCCTAGTACGTTTGGGGTGGCATTAGTTTTAACGTAAGCTAGCTCCACAGGTAAATTCCGGTTTGTTTCTACCTCTCCAGCTGAGAGTTTTGTTAGTGTTACTGGTATCCGAATTACTGAAACTGGTTTCAGTTATGTATTATGTACATATGCTGTGGTCACACTTCAGTGATGTTGGGTTTCTGTTTCCTTCCTTTCCTCTGCTAGGAAATACTATATTCTTCACACAGGTTTGAGCCTTGTTATAGAGACAGGTGCCTGGGCCTGATGTACCAGGTGTTTTGCATAACCCCAGCCTTGTAATGAAGGAGTAATGTTTACAGAGAAGGCAGTTTTTCCAAAATCCTGTGCAGACCTCCAGGGAACAAACGAGTTAATATCTTAAACTTTTAGGAGCAATATGCTCTGAAAAACTTCCAGTTACCAGAATGATGTGTTTGTGATCTGTTACAGTGGACCGCTAGTGCTACACTCTATTCCATGATGGGGAAAAATAGCAAATAGTTTTCTTTCTGTAAAATGATGAAGACATGTTAAATTTTGAAACCTTTGCTGCTCAAAGTTGAAGGTTTTTACTTGGTTTATTTTTGTGAGAAATACTTTTCCTGTTTTTCCCACTGTAATATTTGAAGTTGTGTTAATGTTAATGCTTTCCACCTTCTGAATTAGTTGCTGCGATGCCATCTTATTTTTGGTTAAGCAGTAAAAACATTAAATATTGTTTGCAATAATGGTTTACAATATTTAAGCAATCCTACAAGGTAGTTTATAGTATTTTTAATTATATTTAAATATCTGTCTTTTCAGGATTTAGCTGTTCGATTGACTGATGATACTGATCCTTTTTTCCTTTACAACCTTGTCATATCTGAGGAAGATTTTCAAAGGTAAGTGAAATTATAATGTGTTGTCTGTGAAACATTTCTAAATGGAAAAAAAAAAAGAATGAAGGAATATTTTTAGCTTAGAATTTTCTATATTATAATTCAGGTTTGGGCATTTTTCTCTTACGGAGTTTTGTCTGTATTTGGGTAGTATTGTTCTCTTTGACCAGTTGGTGAAACAGTCAGGTACAGAAAAGAGATTGGCTCAAGATTATATGCGTGACAGAATCCTGATGTTAAGTTCCCTGCATAGCTACAGTAATATAAACTGTGGTACTGCTTACATCTTCTGTTTATCATAGCTGCTTCTTACAGACTATTGTATGTGTGTGAACTATTTTAAGAAATAATTGCAAGAGGAAAGTCTGTTTGCATGGACATGGATTCACAGACCTGAGCCTTTGTCTTACAGGTTTCTTACATACTAATTGTACTGTTGGCTCTCATTTTACTTGCTCAGAATTTGTTGTCAACTTTGGGCACCAGCTTTAACAGTTGAGTTTTCTGCTTTGTTGTTTGGGTTTGTTTTTTTGTTGGTTTTTTAATTACTTAGAGAGAAATATGATCAGTGTGTGGATCAAAAGGCAAAAGTGAAATAGTATTTATAAAACAGATTTGCAGAAGTGTTTTGTTATACAAGGTATGGTTTTGTGCATACACTGTTGAATGCCTGTTTTTGTCTTTGAGTTTACTACATCTATGGTGAAGGTGTGCAATTAAATAAACAAGTAGGCAAATGAAGTCTTGATAAGCAACTTGGTAAGTTGGGTCTCCCCTCATTGTCCTTTGCTTCTTCCATGTGCCCCTATCCAATAACCATACCACTCTGTGCTGCAAGGAAGATGTTTACTCAAAGGAGCACATTTGTTCTGCCACAAAACTTTTTTTTTTTTTCTTAGTGCAGCCTATTTGCAAGAACTCTTGAAATCAAAAATACCCTCTGGTGATTATTGTCCAGAAGTAATCACATTTCTTCTCTGTTCAGGATTGAGAATAACATGATAGCAATCTTTAATGACATGATCATGTTTACTAGTGTAAAGAAAATATTTTATGGGAAATAAATTACACTTATATATACTGTTAATTTTTTTTTTTTCCCCAATCTGTTTATGTAGTTTAAAATCCCAGCAAGGTCTCTTGGTAGACTTCTCTGCTTTCCCACAAAAATTTATAGATCTGCTTCAGCAATGCATTCAGGAACAGAACAAAGATATCCCAAGGTAGGTAATAAGTGCTTATCATTAAGCATAAATGCTGATCAACCACTCAGACTGAGAAGAGTCAATAAAACAAGACTAATTTAACCATCCCCTGGATGCATCAGGGTATCAGTCAGTGGAGGTTGCTGATAAAAACTAAGTCTAGGGAGGACAGAGTAGTGGAAGTGATGTCTAGTAATAGTCTCCCCATCTGAGTTGAAGCTGGCAAGCTTCGCAAGCTAGCAGAAGTGCAAGGATGCAACACTGGTCCTTTTTTCTTTAACAGTTTAATGCTGGAGAGCTAATCTGAATTTGATGGACTGAGGTGTAAATCATTCTGTTTCACAGAGTTATAAGGCATTCTTGTCACATTTTTTTTCTTTCATTTCAGTGTTCAGATATTAATACGTGAGGGGGAGACCTGAGATCCACCCTTCCTGTAGTGGCCTTTCCATATGTTATTTTTGTTTGTGTGGGTACCAAGGAAAGCCTGGTCCGGAGTATCTAGCGCCACTCCGGTAGTCAGCTATTTTCTAAAGTATGTATTTTCGGCTATGAATTTTACTACGTCATAGGATACCTAAAAGAGAGGAGTCTGTTTTCCTTTTGAATTTGGTTACAAAGACCTTCCTTGGCTTTGGACTCCTAAGTCTAAGATGAGCTTCTGAAAATTTTATAAATAAGCAAACTGATTAGTTTTGTACATTTCTTATGATAAGGTACAAACATTTTAGTTGGTATTTGTAGTATTAACTACATCATAAGGATTGAATTTCGTAGTTCTTTTTCAAAGAAAAACTGGACAGCCTTTTATTGCACATATTAAAATGTAGTTTATTCAAAGTAGCTTGTAGGATCAGGAAAAGAAATACACTAAACATTTGTTTATTTTTTATTTTCCCTAGGTTTTTGCTGCAGTTAGTTTCTTCAGCATCTGTTCTAGATCACACACCTGTCTCTTTAAATGTAGTGGAGACCAACCCTTTTAAGCATCTTACCCATCTCTCTCTAAAATTCCTACCAGGAAATGATGCAGAAATAAAGAAGTTTTTAGCCAGCTGTTTGAAATGCCTTAAGGTAAAATGAAGACTTGTCGTAGCTGCAACTAGGCCTTGTTGCTATGTGTACTTAAGCATTTTTTCAGTCTTAAGACTTCAAAAGTATATACCAAATTTTATGCTCTAGTTTATTTTTTATTTTAGCTCATATATGTCATTGCATGCTGTTATTTGGGTGCACGTTCTAAAACTAAATTGTTACTGTCACTCTAGCAATGAAAATACCACATGTATATTCAACTAGCTGCTATAATTTGAACTGGCAGAAAATCGGGTATTTTACACATGCAGCGCATGTAGTATGCAGCTGTTGAATGCTTCTGAATGCTTCAGTGTCTTGTGCTTCATAGCCTTGTGCTGATTGCCACATCAACTGCAAAAGTAAAATACTGTGAACTTTCAGTGTCGTTGTTCTGCAGTTGGGTTTAGAAGAGCATGCATGTGTGTATAATTTTGAGATTTTTATGGACTTCAAAGGGCTAGTAGCTATAAATAGCAAATAAAAATGGTAGTGTTGATGCAGTTGGTAGCATGCTAGGTTTTATTTAATGAGAAATAACAGTCTCATAGTTTGACTGTGGTGTCTTTCGGTTTCATAGCCTGAGATTGGTGCGTCTCCTACTGTGCTGTGATGTTTATAGCCACCTAATAAGTCATTTTAATAATATAAAGTTGCAGTATTTCACTTGAATTGTTGTTCATGCAACTCCTTTGTAAACAAGCCTTTACGATACTATTTCCTTATAGAAACTCGGTAAGAATTTAATTACCTCGTGAGCTAATGCCTTTTCTTTTAAATTTATGAATTATATCTTATTCAAATGAATCCTATTTAAAAAAAGATTACTTTTCCACAAATATCATGGGTATGTGGTTGCTTAGGCAGGGTATGCTGATAAAATGGAAGCTAAATACTACTTGTATTTTGGGAGCTAAGGATTTGACTTGATGTCAATGTGTACATAGGAAGACAAAATGATATTGGAAGAAAAGCTTCAAAAAACTGAAGAGGATCTTACCAGACAACTGAGCTACACTCAACAGGTAATGTACATTTTTAACTTTCCTGTTGTAAGTTGTACTGGTTTTAATTTGTGGAAAATGTGCCTTCTTTTGGGGCTGGTTGGTTAGCCACTACCTAGCTAAGATAATGGACTTGGGAGTGAGTGAAAAGAAGAAAAGTAGTCTAGTGTAGTTTTCAGAATGAGTGAAGCGTGCAACTGAAGAATAAAATTTAGTTCTTGCGGTACAAAACCAGACTTGTATTTTGTACAGGCCTCTGTATAGGCACACACAAGTTATATACTAACTGTGTGAAGATAAGTGTAATCGACATATTCCATGAATGGTTGGAAATCCTTATATTTGGAAAAATTACGAAAAAATTCTGAAATAAATTAGAAGTCTTGAACTTCATGTTACTCTACTACTTTTCGGTTTTCTGTGGTAAGCTCAGTAGTGACTTCACATGTAGGTTTCAACAGGATGATTTGGGTCAAATTCTAGAATTATCAAGGTGACTTTTTTGACTATTGTGAAACAAAAATTCCATTAAAACCGCTATGTGTAGCTTTTTTGGAATGGACTGCTTGTTTACCTCACCTTTACACTTCCAGTTGGAGTTACTGGAATGTGTTTGCTGAATTTGAATGCAGAATTACAAATCAAAAAGGAAACGATGCTGCTGAAGAAATATTCCCTCACCCCCCCACTCCCTTCCCTTTACTAGAGCACTTTTTGTTATAAGGGTAGGGAACATCAGCAGACTGTTTTTTCACTCTTAGATCATGGTTGGAAGAAAATACAATTGGAAATGAAGATTATTCTATTCACAGTGTCAGAAAGGTGCTCCTTAGCTTCTCAGTGCCTTACTTCCTGTTTACAGAATGAACAGGTATTTTGGCATCTGGTGCTGAAATTTAGACTTTGCATAATAATTCCATGTCCTTTTAAAGAAGTAACAGTAAAGAATCATTCAGTATTGACTGAAATGCTTAAGTTTTTAAAACTCATGCTTTGTCAAACAGAGCTTGTCAGAGAAGAGCCGAGAACTAGACAAACTGAAAAATGAATGGACATCATACACTACAGCTCTAACGAACAAACACACACAGGATCTGACAAATGAAAAGGAAAGAGCTCTCCAGGTATGACAACAGAAAAGAATTAAGAATATTCTTGTATGTGAATAGTTTCTTGGCTTAATTTTTAGATTTGTTGAATAACACTTTACTTTGCTTCAGGCACAAGCTCAGTACCAACAACAGCATGAACAACAGAAAAAGGAACTAGAAAACTTGCATCAGAAAAGTATTCAACAGTTGCAGAACAGACTCTCAGAACTCGAGGTCGTCAATAAAGATCTAACAGAAAGGAGATACAAAGGAGACTCTACAGTCAGAGAACTGAAAGCAAAGCTTTCTGGAATAGAAGATGTATGGCTTACTAATTTCCATAACCAAACTTACTATTTTTAGAGCATTAACACTGCCTGCCTATGCATGTGATAGAAAATATAGGATATTAAGTTTGTTCAGCTTCTCTTTATTCCACATTATGCTTAATATTTAGGTATATCTGTTTAAATTACTATTACAGGTTTTCTTAAATTCTTTTCCCACATTCTAGGAATGTCAAAGAGCAAAGCAGGAGGTGCTGTCACTGCGTCGGGAGAACACTACTCTGGATGCTGAATGTCATGAAAAAGAGAAACTCATTAATCAGCTACAGACCCGGGTTGCTGTTCTGGAACAAGAGATCAAAGATAAAGATCAGCTAGTTATTAGAACAAAAGAAGTATTAGATGCGACGCAAGAACAAAAGGTTCCTTCGAGTTTCAAAATAATTCTCTGTAAAGCTCTGTAGAACCTTAGTTGCAGTCTCTATAGATTAGCAGCTGACCAGTTTTGATGAATACAGCAAGTAAGCTTTCAAATGTAGTTAAAAATGCTAAATTATGGCACCAAAAGTACACTGGATTCAGTTTTACAAAGGTCACTACTGTTTTAATACTGTGGTACTGCAGTAAAGCTAGTGGTACTTTTTGTAAACAACAAATGGATTAATTGAGATCCTGTGTAATTTGACTGAAAAGCAAGGACTGAATTTGTTGTAAGGATTATCTCTCAAAGAATTATTGAAATACTTGAAATCATAAATGATGTCTATCACATAACTTTATTACAATATTTTTAATATTTTAAAGGTGATACTGGAAGAGAGTACAGAGAAAAAACAAAGTCATATTGAAAAACTAGAGACAACAATTAAGTCCCTGTCAGCTGAACTTCTTAAGGTTTGTTTGAACATGCCATTATCCTTATGAAACTGTTTCCTTATTTTTAGATGTTTATTTTGAGAATATCTGGTTTATTATTTTTTTAATAGGCCAATGAAATTATCAAGAAGCTACAAGGAGATTTGAAAACTCTAATGAGTAAATTAAAATTGAAAAATACAGTAACAATTCAACAGGAAAAACTATTGGCAGAAAAAGAAGAGAGACTTCAAAAAGAGCAGAGAGAATTGCAGGAGGCGAGACAATCTCTTCGAATGAAAGAGCAGGAGGTATTGTGATAGGTTAACGCTCTGTCCTGTAAATGCTATTGTATGTAATGTGTTGGGTTTTGTGTTTTTTAACTTATTTGTTTACAGCAATAAGGTCCTAAACTTTTCCATGGAATAGAATGTACTCTTTTACTTAGTTAACACATTTATTTAAACGTGTAGTAACTTTTCTTTTTATGTTAAACTGATTTGTAAGAGCCATCCATCCATAAGGAAGAAAACTAAAATTGTATTTACAAGAGTACAAAGCAATATAATGATTAATTGCCATGCTTTAGAGGGCATATTCATGTGAAAGTTGATGAAGGAGGCAAGAACAGGAACAGAGTGAACTTTTTTTCCACTAAGTATATTCCCCTGCTTGGAGTTCTTGCATTATTTAACCAGAGAAAAATTAAGGTCGGAAAGGTTTCTGGCTGTTGTCGTGTTGAAACCCTTGCTAAAAGTAGGGCTTATTTTAAAAGAATTACCATATTGCTTTTGTGAAAAAACAGAGTTCAAACTTCTCTAAGTAATTTTAGAACAGCTTCATAGATCCTTTTTATTTGTATTGTGTTTTTTCTTCAGTTTGTAATAGTAGTAGCTCCTGATGATGTTGTTACGGGAATATTGTAGGTTTGCAAGCTACAAGAACAGCTAGAAACTACAATACAAAAACTAGAAGAAAGTAAGCAGTTGCTGAAAACCAATGAAAATGGTAGGTTTATATAATTTCCTGTCTCCCTCTGTAAAAATGGCGTAATGATCTAGCTGCTACTGAAAATTAAGGGAAGCAACTATATTGCTTTACCTGTGTTCTTTTTTTGTAAAAAAGAGCTGTGATTATTGTCATTTATGGAAAATAATATGACTCACTTCTGTCTGTAGTGAGTGTGCAACAACCTAGAGCTCCAAGTAGAGAAGACTTCCCTTGCAGTTGGTGCTTGTGGTTGCGTGCACGGAGGGCTGCTTCTAGCGGAAGGAACAGAAGGGCATGTAGGGGTGGGGGAAGCTTGAACAAAAAGGCTTTTCATGACATAAAGACTTCTAGTCACTTAAGCTCAATGGGGAAAAATAGCACACTGAAAGCTGTCACTTCTTTTGAGGAAGGGCCTCCTGTTTTAAGCAGCTTGCAAGAGGTAGGAAGTGAACTTGACCTTTTTCTTCTCTCTTCAGTAATCACATGGTTAAACAAACAGCTGAATGACATTCAGACGACGAAGAAGCTGGAGTCTTCTGCCGGTGCACACAGTGGTGTTAGGACTGCCATTTCACCTCATGGCATGGTAGGATGCAACTATAAATGACATGGTTATGTGTAGTCATGATTTCCTGAAATGTATGGCCTTAAAAGGAAAAAAAAAAGTGCTTTCATCTTTTTTTGGCCCTATAGTTTTGGGTGGGTGCAGGGTTGTTTTGTTTATTTTTTTAAATAATGTAATACCCTGTTGGGTGCTACTTGATGCCTGGCCTTCTAAGTGAGAACTTTCTCAGCTCATTAATTAAAATACATAAAACAATGCAAAATTAACTTGGAAAAGATGGAAGTGCAGGGTGAAAAAGAAAAGTGGCATTTTCGTGTTGTGAGGTAAACTTACATAGTAATTACCTTTCTTTTTCAACTTAGACAAAGTGTACTATTTGAATATTCTTATTAGTGATACTTAGAAACATGAAAAAAGGGGTGAGAAACATTACCTACTGTCTTTGTTAAATATCATAGCATATTGGTTCTTATTGTTTGTTGTCCGTGTACAGATGTCCCTTGTCACCTACCAGTTGATGAGCTGCTTATTCAAAAGTGCAAGGGCATGTTCATGCAAAGAGGTGTCTGAGTTATAGCTAGATACCTTTAATATATTAATCACAGGGTGTGTAGCTTACTATGAGCTTATAAATATTAGCTAGGAGTGCTTAACTCATCTGACTTATAAAAAGTGACATTGTCTTCCTATGAGGAAGACTCAGATGTTAGCTTTGCAATTGTGGTTAGTTGTTAAATTTGGAATTTCTACAAACAATTACTTCAAGAATTGTTTTTCTCCTCCTTTTATGGATGCATTCTATTTCCCTTACAGCCTGACCGACCATCCTTTCCCAGCTCAGGAATCAATCATCCCATTTCTCCTCTGTATGCCTTCCAGAACTTTCCAGAACCAGCACACAACAATAATGTCAACTCACAATATCCAGTACCAAAGGCAGGCACTTTGCCTTTTCTGTTTGGTTAAGAATGCGATAGCATAAAATATCAAAGCTTAATGTTTTTAATATTTCTCATGATGCATAAATATTTACTGCATATCCTAGTACTCTTAAATGCCATGTCTTGAACATTATCACTGTTAGTAATTGTAATAGCTAATGCTTGTTGTTAAGTCGCTTAGTTCTTGTGTGCTTTGCTGCACAGAAGTGCTATGCAAGGTATAGAAACATCACTTCTGAATACATTGACTGGTGGACCGTCGTATCGGGAGTAGCCCTCTTTAACCTGCAACTCTTCTGTTTCTGCAGATTCAGTTTAACACACAGCTTTCTAAGGTGAATCGATGTTCAGATGTTCAGACAGTGACTCCTGCAAGTAGTCATCCAGCAAATAAGGAGAAGTAAGTGTAATCTATTGAGTTTTCCGTGGGTTTTTTTAATTATTATTTTTATAAAGCCATTTGTCTTCTATGCATGCCTGGAACTGAGCAGAACACTTCCAGCAGTAAGCTGGTTCTGTGATCTGCCTTTCTCCATCAACATGCTAATGAATTTTAAGTTGTGGCAGACATAATTGGTCGCTAAGCACGGTTTGTAGGTAACAAATGAAGAGCCGTGCTTTCAGGAGTGGGTCCCAAGGAACAGAAGTTCATTGTCCCTCCTGGTGACAAATCTAAGGCTATCAGGTGATAGGTCAGTCAAAAAATTACTTCTAGACTGTTCTTAACCTACTCAGTGATGGTTTACCTTTAAATGATAACGTTCATAGGAAAACACAGTAGCTCCACTTCAAGTTAAGATTTTTCTGAATGAGTGTGTATCCACACCTGTTAATGCACTGCTAACTAACTATGTTTGGCTTAAATTTTAATTAATCCTTTTTATTTCTAGTGGTGGTAATTTGGCGCTGGACTCCAAGTATTTCAAGAAAAAAGATGACAGCATTCCTTTACGTGGGCTTAGTCAAAATACACTTAACTCAGGTATGTATGGAAATAGCAAAACAAGACCTCCTTTGAAATGTACTTAAAGGCTATTAATAGTTACAGTTCTATGAACAGTATCTTGCTTCTGCTGTTCTACAGAGCACCTGAAAGCGTATTTACCAGCAAAAGCCCAGCCGTCACCAAAAGCCGCAGTAACACCAGCCTCGGCTTATTTTCCTGGATAGTAGACAGGGTTCTTAAAGTAAGAGTCCTCTTTTAACTATTTGGGGGATTTTTGGATGTCCTGTAATAATGTATTAGTAAAGTATCAGTGTGAACTGACATAATTTGTAAGTCAGTCTGAACCCATCTTCTTCAAGAAAGATACCTTGACTGACTTCTCAGGATACTTGAGCCTAAAGAAAAGCTAAAACTCCAAGGCAGCCTCGGCCCTAGTGGGAACACCACCTTTGTGAAGTCATGGGGGTGTGCAGAATTTTCCCTTAAGTGTATTGGAGACCTTGTAGTCTTCCAAAAAACCCACTTTAAGTGCACTGACGACTTAGTTGCAGGAATTAACAAGTGTGGCTCTGTAAATACTTTTTTGACTCCTTTCAGAGAAAGGATGATGCAAATAGAAGGGGCTGGAAAACAGAGTGATGCTGTCATTTTAATAATGGCATGACTGCCTCACTAATCCTCCCTTACACTTTTAATTTTCAAAAGTTGTGTAATTTTGGAACCAGCTTATTTGAATTGCATATAGACTTACAAATATATTTAATACTAAAGATACTAAATTATTTTACTGAAGGTATAAAATGATAATTTAAAATTCTCACTCTTGGTTACCCTAACTTTTCTATCTGTCAGCGCCACCATGCTTAAGATGTTCTAATGGTGAAGTATCTATCTGAACAGTTAGAAGTTACAACATCTAAAAGCCACTTTATTTTTACTAATCATACTTTTAACAACTGTACAGTCTTACAGAAGTTGAAGATACTCCAACACCCAAATTTAGGTGGACATCAATTATTCAGCTTGTTCTACTTACCCAGGTTCAAATGCTAGAATCATGTTAACAGCTTCATTCTATGCCATCTTTTATTTGGTGTCCCCAGTAAAGAACTGGCATGCAAGTATTTGTAACATACAAAATACACTTTTAAAAATTACTATTACTTACTTCTGTGGTTAAAGATATTTCATACCTTCTACCTTTGTTACTTAAAGTGCATCCAGAGGATTGTATGTTTAAGTTGTTTGTTTTGCAGTGCAAAATGTGTGTATTTGTTTATAAATCAGCACCATGTTAATGTATAGTCTCTTGTTTTGGCACATGTAAGTTTCAGTGGAAATATTAAAGGGTTTTTATCAAAAACTCTGACTAAGTAATGTTTTAGGAGTACTAAACCAACACCCCCACTGCACTGAAATTCCAAGCTGAGGTAAGTGCCAGAACAGTACTATTTTATCCATCGTACCTTCTTCTGGAGTTTTCTTCACAGCTTATTCATGCAAAGGCAGTGCTACTGGACCAGCACTATGCTGCACCTACACTCCCCAGATGGCAGCCACCCAGTTCTAAGGTCTGTGCTTCTGCTACTGTTTCTAGTTAAGTTTTAGTAGGTGTAAATTAATGTGAATTTGGTCTATTTCTCTTCAAGTATATATAAGCTGTTATCAAACAGGAACTGGGTAATTAAATTGTGGCAGCTTTCCAGAGCTCCCAGTCCTATTTACACCTAAAATGAAACAAAGCTGTAATGGGCCTGAGAAGGGGAGGCAGAGCCCGCTGTGTACTGAAGGCGGACTGTCTTTTGTTACTGACCTGTTTCTTGTAGCCAGCATCTATGGCCATCCTGTTCCACCAGCTCCCCTGTGGCTGGCCTGCACTGCTGAACACCACCAGGGAGAATAGTGACAGGCAGAAGGCAGATAAAACACAGTGCTGGACCTGTGCTCCAGCCCTTTTTTCCCCCCACTTGCTGAAGTAGAACACACATACGCTACAGAACTCCAGTTCAGATCAAGAAACATTAACAATTATTTAAAAATTCATTAAAATATTCAACTTTATTAACAGTATATTTACATATTTTTTCCTGCTCTTGGTCAACCATGGTGAATGTTCAAAGGTAAAAAAGCATTAAGCAATAACCACAAGATGAAAACATTTTAAACCTATACAATACTTTATACACAAATTTATACAAAGGAACACTTAAATAATACAACTGGACACAAAAATATACACTTTTAGAGAAATTCACATCAGTAATTGTATAAAGCTCTCTTCTGTACTAAGGGTCCTGAAAATTTAGGACTAAAACATTAGCTCTGTAATGCAAAAGGGTTATTGTGACAGTCCTCAAAGGCCACTATATAGCACACGGACAGATTCAAGGCTATCAGCTTATATTTCAGTCTGTGTATTCAAGTTTTGAGGTCCTTTATGATTACGCAAATATCAGAAATATAGTAGTATAATAAACGGTACTTAGGAAAGCAGAGGTTTTGAGCCAATATTAAAATTCGTAGGCTCAAAACACCCACTTAATGTTTAAACAAGTGTTTGATACTACCGTTTATTCAAAAGTAGAAAGAGTAAATGCACTTACATAAAAAATAACTTTTACTGCTCAGCAAGCGTGCTCGGGTGATTTTTATATTAGTACAAACTTAAAAAAAACCTGCCATATGACTTTAAAGATAAATGATACCAATTCACCTTCTCCCACTTGAGTAGATTTACATTAAGGCTTTGAATCATCTGACCCAAAATTTTACAACATTAAAATGAATGGGTCCGCATGGATGCCAGTGTGTCTCACTGAGACTTAGCACAACTAGAATTAAAGCTTACCACCTTAAGGAAACAGAAGGACACATGCTCATGCCTTGACTCCCTTCTTTGTTGTCTCTGAACTAGAATGTAAAGTTTAGTAGTAACAGTATTTCATGGCAAGAGACAAGTATGTAACAGTTGGTTTTTAAAAGCAAATTATTAATTCAATGGCAATATCTTTGGAGAAACTTACCTTTTTTTTAATTCCTATGAATTTCATGCAGAAAGATACTTCTTAAGATTACACCTTAAGAAATGACATTTTGGATGTAATTATTGGAATGTGTATCCCAAACTGCTGATGGAAAAAAAAGTCTAAAAGGTCTTTCTGGATTTTTGTCATACATTTGTATCTTGCAATAATGGTTCTTTAGCTTCACCAGGAGCTTGTGGACTGTGGGGATGGCCATGGCTGCCACAGTGTTTCTTCCAGCTGCTGGATCGTACGTTTAGGTTTGTGTGTTCAGGAATAAACAAGGCAACGAGTAGTGCCAGCAGCACAGAGCACGCGCCAAATAAGAATGGGGGTCCGGGAATTATAGAATTCTGAAAACAACAACAGTAAGGCCACAAAGCATTAATGACCCTTCAGACACATGTTAACAGACTACACTTGCTAACTGCACACATTTCAAAAGTGGGAAGAACTTTTTCTTGCTCCACTAGCCAATGCAGCATTTGGCCCCATGTGCACTCTTTTAGAAGAAATAATGTTACGTCCTAAGACTTGGGAGAGGGAGCACGTGGTTCTTATCAATGTGTGCCAACTTCCTCTTCCACTGCAAGGCCTTACTGCTGAGTTTCCTTAACAAATTAATAGCTTGGTTAAAAGACTAAAGGACAACAAAACATAAAACACATGAAAGGTGATAACAGTAGTTATTAGTCCATCCTTCCCTCAGTCTGTTCTCTTCACAGGGTCATCAGTTGTCTAATTACTACCAACTGTAAGTTAAACCAAACCTTACCATCCAGTTGAAGAGAACCCTCCCCAAGAGTGATTTCAGAACCTCTTTATGTGCTTCATTCACAGTCAGCATAACAAAATGTAATACAGCGTCATACTCAAGAACTGGTGGGCACATGATCCCCTCCTAATGTCTTTTTTTGGAATTAATAAGTAAAAGAATACCTGTTGCAAATGGTATTGTGTGACCACACTACCTCCTGCTGGTGATTCAGGCATGGGGAGTTCATTCAGTTCAACATGAAATATGTAGAATATAAAACCATAAAGTGCTGGTCCCAAACCATTACACAGTCCTCGAATTCCTGTTATCATCCCTTGAACAACACCTGGGAAAAGTAAATGCACCATTATCTATCTATATTTATACATACATAACTATCTCAGAGAACTATGAACAGATCAGTAAGACTGGTCACCTTCAAACCGATACAAGCAGGAAAGCTCTTCTGAATGGTGTTGTACTATAGGTAGCAATAAATAAGGGGCACAGAAAAATTGCCACTGTAGTCTATTCAGGTACCTTTGCCACCTCCCTCTAGGGACAGAGTAGTACTTCCCATGCTATGCTCATTCACAGACCAGTATATATACACATCATCCTTGCTGTCTCATGCAGGAGAGAAAGCAGTGGATGCAACCTGGACAACTAAGCAAACTTTTGTCAAAAGTGAGGAAAATCAACAGCATATTAAGTCTGCAAAGTATTTCGCCACTGTTGAGACCCATTGAATGTTTTCCCTCTGTGCCCGAAAGACGCGATCCGCACATATTACAACTGCCAAGGGACTTGGATTTCGGTAAGATGTTGTGACCTGTGCTGAGGTGTATGGGCTGCTCTGTGCCAGGCTGCAGGCTGACTGACTAGCCCTACGAGAGAGGACACCCCGACATGTCTGTCTTCACAGTGTTCTTTGCCTAGAATTCCACATACTGGGACAAAACCTACCCTGCTGGTCTGCATCAGCCGTTCGTGAAACCAGTGCGCTTACAGCTGGGAAAGTAATACTGGACATGGCTGCAACCGCTCCAGCGGCCCACATCATCCTGCAAACAATACAAACTCAAAGTGATGGCTCTGCATGGAGGGCGTTCTGCCTTTGGAGCGTATCTGTGTATGTAGGTGTGTACAGATACACGTACACACACTTCAGTGTCTCCCTTGGATAAAGGAAGAGATGCAGAAAAATACAGTATCATTCAGATATTAAAATGAAATTTACATACCACGGTTCTGATCCAAAGCCGTACCACGCAAGCTGTAGTATTTGAAATCCTAAGCCCAGTAGGATGGTATTTTTATTTCCAATGGACCGCATGAGTAAACTCAAAACTATTGTCTGATGGGGGGAAAATCAAAGAAAAGTGACATTCTATTCTAAATGTTAAATGCATGCAGATAAATTAATGAATTTAAAAAGCAACAA